TTTTTTTTGACTAGACCATATATTTGTTTCATCGTAAATTGAAAGAATATTAAATTCTAAGGAAAAAAGTATTAACCCGCATTGATTCTAAACCTAATAGTTAAGGAAATATTTTACGATCATTTGTCTCGAAGATGAGAATTGCATAAAGCATTAGGACCATTTGTTTGCACAATTTATAAACATAATTTACCTTGTCTACATGTGATGCTCAAAGTGGTGTCCACTGACACTTGAACAATTTTGTAAGTGGAATCAATGAAATCAACGGCTTTCTATGTTGATTGTGCACTAATTATACTACACGCTTGTAGAATTCGCTAATTTATATTGTTGTTGGTGCTTCATTGTGTACTTCATTGTATCATTGTAAAAATAATATGAAAGTGTTAGATCGGACGGACAAGCCACAGAAATTGTCCACCACGATCAATCCATCAATTTTCAAATAATCTTTGTAACATGTACTTCCTAATACGTGCTCACATGAATAATGAACCGTCATGTTGGTACCAATGTATCGAACGAGTGTGTAAGGACATCTTCCAGCAAAGTTCAGAGTTTTTTAAGTGGTCAAGTGGTTTAGAAATTCCTAATTTGCCACGCTGCGTGTGTGTATGTACATACAATTAATCTGCCTAATTTAAAACTAATTTCTAATTAACGATTCTCTTTCCGTAAAAACTTGATATAGGATATTAAAGTGGCTGTTTTTAACGATTTAGAAACGCTTACAACGTGTGAAAGTTAATCGTGCAGATTGCTAAAATTCACGCGTTTCGATACAATCGCTCGTGGATACATATACTATACACATAGATACTATAGATCGGAGCCTGCAGAACATCATTGACAATCGATCATATCGAAATATCTAAAAACTACTTTGTCATGTTTTTATTATGTTATATATAAAGATCATACAGGAATTCTATTACTGTCAGTTTCTTGATCTGTACGTTATCAAAATGCAAATTCGTCGTCATAGATGGTAAATGCAGATTTGTTATCATAATCAAATTCCATGCATTTTCTCTGAATCCGAAAAATGCATAAAGGTAGGTCGAAAAAAAAAAAAAGAAGCTTCCTTGATGAAATATTGCGGGATCGTACAATGCACACATATAAATCACCCGCTACGAAGTTGATTTGCATATTCTATTTAAAATTTAAATGACTAACCTTCCTTTATGGCTCGAGATTTATGCGCAATTGTGCACGTTAAAAAGAGTAATCGTGCTTCTTCTTTTAGGTGTTTTACGAGGGGCGAAACCATACTGATTTTGCTGGAGATTATTATTAGAATTTTAGTTTAGTTCTTGTACAATCGTATCGACAAATCATTAGCGTATAATGTAACTTTATAATTGTATAATTTGTAATTTTAATATAATTTCCAGCTTGCCAAGAATATCTCGACGAGCGACAGTACGATCTGTCTTTTCACATATATCGTGGAACAGAGGCTAAATCTGGCGAATTCCCATACGTAGTGGCTTTAGGATACGAGGACGGTCTCAAAAATCTCTCATCCATCAGTTACAGCTGCGGAGGTAGCTTGATCTCCGTTGAACACGTGTTAACAGCAGCTCACTGTGTGAGCAACATTAACGAACTAGTGCCAACAGAAGTGAGTATCATTAAGTGCGATATTAACACTAGAACTACCAAAGTGGTCTACTAAAATGACTAATTTCCAATTTTCTGGAAATTTTATATATTTATAATACAGTGTATTTTTAGATATTCGAGTGATTTTTAACAAATATATTAGTAGAAGCTTGTATTCTTTATTGTATTATATTATAATACAATTAATATATTAATATATAATATAATATTATATTATATTACTAGAACTACTAACGAAAAAATATAATATATTTGTAGCAATGAAACTAAAGTGCAAGGTATAAGAAAAATATATTACAATAATATATTTTGTACATAATGCAATAAAGAATACAAGCTTCTATTAACATGTATTATATTTTAATTTATATAGAAAATTTATTAAGAATATTTATTATATTATATTATATTTTAATTTATATTAGAAAAATATATTTACAATATAATATATACATTTAGTTATAATAAATTTATGATATTACACAGTTATAAACATTAATTAAATTAAGTTTCTATGATGATTAAGTCGATCTTTTTGTGAAATGTTTAACAGTGTTTAACAAGCATTGTTAAAGTTCTTCATATCCTGCGTCCACTTGTTCCAGGTTCGATTAGGAAACGAGAGCATAGACAATAACGCGATGAACGTACAGCGAATCCCGATAAGCGACATAATATCGCACCCGGAGTACAAGCGCAGCACGAGTTACAACGACGTCGCCATTTTGAAGCTGAAGACGAGGGTGCTGCTTTCTAACCTGGTCCAGCCTATCTGCCTTCAAACCCAATCTCTAAACCAATTGACTATAACGCCCAAGATGTCTTTGATAGTGATCGGCTGGGGCGGTACGGATTTCGGCGAGTCCTCCTCCACCAAGTTGAGGAGGACACCTAGCCTCAGGTATCTCACGATTTCAAGTTTCCCAATCCTATATATAATTTAACGAAAATTAGACGGGGCAATTAAAATTAATAATTTTAATAAAATTTAGCGCCAGCAATAGCACTACTTTACCAATTATACTGTAATTTAAAATAAGTTAATAATTTAAAAATATATGTTTATGTAACTATAATATAACTATAATATAACTTATATGTTTATATAAATTTTTAAATACTATCTTACATCCCATTAGATAACTCTCATATCTTGTATAAAATTATTAATTTTGAATGAAATTTTAATTAATAATAATATAAATTTATAATGAAAAATATATTATAAGTTCCTTTTCTTTCAATGCGAATTATTTCACGATCAGTGAAACTGCTAAATAATATAATAATAATAATAATAAATCCATACGCAAATCACAGACTCGTGGACAAAGAAGAATGCGCCAAGCATTACAGAGGATATCGAAAGTTACCCTTTGGCATATCCGACACCATGATCTGCGCCGTGGATCCGAATAGCACGAGGGGATCGGACGCCTGTCAAGGCGACAGCGGAGGTCCACTGTTGCTGTTCACCGAGGAAGGCGTGAAAGTGATCGGTATCACGGCTTTCGGGCAAGGTTGCGGCGGTCCTGTCCCCGGTGTTTATACCATGGTGTATTCCTACCTAGAGTGGATCGAGGAGCAGGTGTGGACAAGCAAGAAGGAGAGCAAAGATGTCCTGAAGACAGAGTTTATTAATCCTATTATTAACATCTCTATCACGCGCCACTGAGCACTCATCTTACGACGTGTCGTCGTGCGCACCTCGGTGGCGATCTTCGCGCAATGGAATTCAATTTTGTCGCAGTTCTGTTCGATTTAACATGTCAAGTGCCGTGTCGGTCTTCGGTAACCGACGAAACAAATTTAGTACACGTATATTAAAAATTGACAAACTTTAAGATTACTTTAGGAAAGAATATAGTAGCTGAATATTGTTTTTATTGGTATTATATAAACAGTATACAGTAATTTTAATAAGTTTTATTAAAACAATTTAGGGAAAGACTGTCTTTGCAACTTTCTTAGTCACGTTTCTACCAATATTTCTATTTTCTTCGTGACAATTTTTACAAAATCTTCCGACTTGGGACGCTGCAAACTCTGATCTTGTGTTATACTTACTACGCTGCATCGAACTGTATCGAACGGCGTAAATGGAAAGATAAACGAAAGTACTTGACGGCACTTGACGTGTTAAATCGCGCGTGATTAACTTTCAGTATCGAATCGTTAGAAAATTAAAGTAAAATGATGAAAGAATGATTCGTGGTTTCGCGCGCCAATTGTACGCACGCTAAAGATTTTTCCAGAAGGTTGAAAGATTGACGAAGGGAGATTGAGATACAAGAAAAGTTACCGCTGCGTCCCGACTAACAGTAAATTTCGAGTTGTACCGTCGCTCGTGTGCCATCATTTATGAGAGAGAAGGAAAGAACGATAGGGGATAAACATTAACAAAACCCTCTTTTATTTATTCACATTCTGTACAAATGTTATTTTACATAATGTCATGATAATATCAACCGGCCCGATTCCGATCTGGCATTTTGTGTGATAAGCGCCGATTTGAATACTCGTTAGAGTAGCGAAGTACATATATATATATATATTTAAAGCGATCTTAGGAGATTTAAGGCGATCTCTCGAGACAAGGTGAAAAACCACGTCGATTGTATTTTTGTAAAAAACATAAAAAGAACAAAAAACATTTTTTTCTAGAGCAAAGTAAAAAAAAAAAAAAAAAAAGAAAAAAAATTTTTTTCAAAAGAAAAAAAAAAAAAAAAAAAAAAAAAAGAAAAAAATCACTGTGAAACGGTTCAATACCGGTTTGACAAGGGCCTCGTATCCTTATTCTTTAGGGTATCCAGATGCAAAGAAACACACCAGCACCAAGATTCAAAGCGATTCCAAGTAATCTACGATATAAGTTTACGATATAAGTTTCCTTCAAGTGATTTTAACTCGTTAAGGGCCGAGCTTATTGCTCAGGACGAAGGTTATCGAACGAATCCTTGGAATTGCTTTTCGTAAACTACACACACACTATTGTTATAGTTTAGATGTTCGAATTCCGCGATGCAAATTCGATTCGAATTTTAATCGTGAATTCGAATCGAATTCGACTCCCTCCCCCGACGAGTTAAAATATTCGCAAACCGTAGAAATCATTTCAGCACTTCATGTACAGACAAAAGTTCTTTAGAGTATTTCTCGTCAAAGATAAAATTGTCAAGTCTCTATCATAGAACATCGAAATCCTTATTTATTCAACGAAGTTGATGTACAACGATTATGATACAGTGTACTTGTACGCGACGCCGCGACGTAATACTGTTAACGATCAGGTGCAATTGCAGTGTAATATGTAGGTACGTATTTTCATTTACAGCCGGACGAACGAGTTCCAAAAAATTTCATTGTCCCCTCTCGAGCGATTCAAATGAAATTAACCGGGAGTCGTTTCGTCGGATCACTAGCAGTTGGATCCTCGATCAGATTAGTCAACTGGCTTGAATTCAACTGGCTCTCACTTTGGGCAAAAAAATATTTTTATTACAGAATTAAACATTTTTATTACACAATTAAATAGTTATTATAATAATTATATAATTATATATTTTTATTACACAATTAAATAGTTATTATAATAATTATATAATTATATATTTTTATTACACAATTAAATAGTTATTATAATAATTATATAATTATATATTTTTATTACACAATTAAATAGTTATTATAATAATTATATAATTATATATTTTTATTACACAATTAAATAGTTATTATAATAATTATATAATTATATATTTTTAATTATTATAATAATTATATAATTATATATTTTAATTATTTTTAATTATTATAATTAAAGTATATAAGTATATATTTTAATTATTTTTAATTATTATAATTAAAGTATATAATTATACATTTTAATTATTTTTAATTATTATAATAATGATATAATTATATACTTTAATATAATAATTATATAACTATAATAATTATATACTTTAATATAATAATTATATAATATATATTTTAATTAAAATAATATGTAATTAAACAATTAAAAATATGAAAACAGTTAAAATACTCATTGTCAGAGTATTTTATATTCATGGATTGCAGGCCAATCATGCACATGTATCAGGTCAATCGAAATGGCTTGAATTCAGGGCAATGGTTTGACTAATCTGACAGAAGCTCGATCCCTTAATGTTTAAAAGTTTGAGGAATTCCGTGTGCGTATAGAAAACAAAAAAAAGAAAAAAAAAACATTTGGAAAGAAAGGTACTTCCGTCATAGTAACTAAGTACGTGTTACACGTTCCCATCACCCCATAGAAATCTTCCACTCTCGTATCGTTGCAATTTAATTCCCCAGCCAAATTTAAAAAATCGTTCAAGATTAAACGCCAGCGAGAGAGAAACTTGATTCATAATACGATCGATTCGTTCGAATCAAGTCAATCGAATTAGTCATAGTCTGTCGGGGACTATCCATCAACCAAGAATCAGAATTTCCATCGTGTTATTCTCGATCTTCAACACCAAAGAAAGCAAGAAAGAAACGATCGATTCATTCGAATCTCAAGCCAAACGAAATTATCATAGTTTGCCTGGAAGATCGATCGATCATTCAGAACCTCGATCTTGAATAAAATAAGGAAGAAGCTTAATTCACAGTGTCATTCGAATCGAAAAATTAAACGAAAATTACCCATAGTTTGTCAAGATCAATTTCCATGAACATCGTGAACACCGAGGGAAGCAAAAAAGAGACTCGGATTCATAGTCACGATCGATTCATCCAAATCAAGTTAAACTAAAAATTGTCGTAGCTCGTTGATCAACAAGATCGATCAACCATTCGGAATCAATGCCCGATTCTCGAACGACCGACCGATCTGACAAACAAACTGCGCACAGCGACACGAAATGTAATGCAAGTTCCCCGGTTTCCTCGAAAAGAATTTATTCTTCAGAGCCTGTCAAAACGCTATACGATCCCCCCCGTTTCCCATTGGGTAACCTCACCCCCATTTGGTAGCTATCGTGTACAACGATCGGAGAAGTTCCAGGGCTCTGTTGTCGGACGCGGACGCTGCCTCGTCCCCGAGCGATCGATTGTTCTCGTCGGTGGACGCCGCGGTCTTTTCCGATCGTCTCACGATGCTCGCCGAGTTCTCCGTAGTCGTGCGAAATCTCCGGCTCTTTCTGCTCCTGAACGTGGTCACCGGCGGATCGGTGGCCAACAGTGTCGAGGGAGTCGATCGATCGGCACTCCTCGCGCGACCGGTCGACTTGACATCGGCGGGCAAACCGAGCCGATTGATACCGGCCACCGCGTTCCTCGAATCCTCCGACGAGAACTCGTTCACGGGCAGTCGGAGCAACGCGTTCAACAGCTCCTCCCGCTCGCGTTGCAACGTCTTGTCCGCGGGGTCCCTGCAGTGTCGTATCAGAAGCAACACCAGCTGTCGGACGGTCTCGTTGTTGTCCACCTGCTTCATCACCCTCATCAACGCGTCGGTGGTCGTGGCGTTCAATTTGCCGAACAGCCTCTCGGCGATTTCGTTCTCCGTCCCGTTCGACTTGCTCTTGCCCGTATCTGCCGCGTAGGGTAACAAGGAATTGTATCCAAGAGTATCCCGGGGCAACGAGTTCGTCGAAGCGGTTATCGAGGACGTTATAGTCGTCGTGATGCTGCTGCGCGTGGTAATCAGCGGCTTCGGCGTGACAGTGTTCTCAACGGTGGACGAGGAGAACGAGGCCGGGAGTAGAGAGAAGGTCGTGGGCGAGTCCTTGTCCCTCGACAGTCTCTGCGAGGAAAACGGCGCACCAACGTCTTCTTCCTCGCTGACGAACGACTCGTCCGAGCTGCTCGACACGTCTTCGCCCAGGGATGGCGTGTTCTCGTACTCCCCTCTTTCATCGGACGCGCCAGTCGTTACGGTCGATGGTCCAAGATCCGACTCCAGGTCGTGGTTGATTCTCTGAGGGTCGACGAACACCGACGTCTCCCACAAGTGGGTAACAGCCGGTGACGAAGTCCAGTGATCGTTCTCCAATACCTTTGAATCTTCCCTCTGGTCCACAGACAGGATGGAGGAATCGTCATCGGCGCACGGTGTAGTGTCATCCACGCTAGTGTTTATGGTCGACTCGGTGACGGGGACCGTCGTCGTCGCTGGCTTCTCAGAAGCTTCACGCTCGTCCGTTATGCGATTGTAAAGATCCCGGAATTTCATGTAACTGCTTCGTAACGTCGGCAGAAGGGACACTCCGGGTTTCAATTCTGTGCGAGGCTTCGACGAGTCGTGCAACAGCGACTTCGAGCGATGGGGGATCAGTGAGTCTTCGACGGTGGTGGACACGGGCGTGCTCGAGGAGTAACTCTCAGGAGTAACTCTCGAAGTGGCCTTTCGGATCGTCTCCGAGCGACCGTCGAAAAACGGAGGTGTCAGCTGCTGCTCGGGCTTCCTGCTCGTCGACTTTTTGTTCCAGTTGTAGGTCATGTGCACGAACGTGGACGGGGAGAGTGGCGTGGGTGAAACGACGTAATTGTCGCTCACGGGGGTAGTGGCCAGTAACATTTCGATCGGCTGGACAACAGTGCTCACCGCGCTGTTGTTCTGGAAACCGCCGACGCGGCTCTGGTTCCCAATATCAAGGTCAAACGGATCGTTCGTGACCGTCGACTCGACGTTATTCTGACCGTAGAAACTCGCGTCCGAGGTGAACGTGCTCTCCTCCGTGGGAGGCTCGGAGGTTTCGAAGTACGCGTTCGTACTGTCCTCTTGAGAGGACAAGACTCTGGGAGTGGTGGCGTAGTAAGTGCTCGGTAACGTGCTGAGCGTGTCGTAGACGTTCTCTTGAACGGTGGTGGTAGGTGGCTCGAAGGTGGTTGGATAAACGGTGGTCAATTTGTGTCTGGCGTCGTTACCATCGTCGGAAAAGTCTAGAACCTCGTCTTTCTCTTTAGTCGAGGAGGTGCTCTCCTCGTCCTCCCCGGTCGGATACGGAGTTGTAGTCTTCCACGAGTCGTCGCTCTCCTCCGTCGTTTTCGACGGCTCGGTCGGCCTGATCTCGGTCAACACCCTCTTGAACGAGTCCGGGTCCAGCAAGTATGCGGAGAGAGCGTGCGTGAACACCTGCGCCAGCTCTCGTAGTCTCGTGCTGTTCGACTTTCGAAGATCGTCCAACGATCCGCCGCTTTGCTGAAGCTCCAAATCGTCCTCTGTACTGTCGTCCTCCCCGTAACTGCTCGAATCGTCCGAGCGCTCCTCCGTCGTCACGTTGTTCGTCTCCGCGTCGTCGTCGTTCAGCTTGAACAGTTGCGCGTACGTGTCGATGGTGTGTCTGGTTAAGAGGCTGGTCGGCACCTGGACCGTTCCGTTGCTCTTCCTCGAGAGCGACGACTTCTCCGCTGCCTCCGCGCTGACCGACGAGTCCGTCGTCTCGTTCGAGTCGAAGTTCTCCGTGGCGGTGGAGAAGTAGAGGGCCAGAGAGTGCAACGTCGAGGCAGCCGGTGGAGCAGAAACGTTCGACACCCGAGGTTCGTTACCTCTCAACACCTCCGACAGACTCGGCACGTTGTGCTCGAGGCTCTTCAGCGAGTGCAACATGCTCAACGCGTGTTCCCGCGCCGCGCTCGGCTTGATTTTACTCAACGACGTTGGCGCGGGATATTTCAATTTCGGCGTCAGAGTCCTCGTGCCCGCGGAGGTGTAACTGGTCGTGTAAGTGGGCACCGTGGCGGTGTACGGAGTCGGTTTCGAAGCTGGACCGCTGCTCGACGTGTGCGCGTAGTTCTTCGTAAACGGCACGTAAGGGCCTAGAGTGGACATCACTTTGCCCTGCTTGTACGTGAAGCTTCTGTCGTAGGGGCTCAGGTCTTTCTCGGTCACGGTGCTCGGTTGATAAGCCGCGGTGCTTCTGAACGGCTTCTCCGTAGTTGTGCTGATCGAATTCTGCCGATAAACCGTTGTGGTTGGACCTTTCGCGTCAACGTTCAACCTGTTCGACTGGTTGCTGTCGATCGTGCTGATCGAATTCTGCCGATAAACCGTTGTGGTTGGATTTTTCGCGTCAACGTTCAACCTGTTCGGCCGATTGCTGTCGATCGTGCTGATCGAATTCTGCCGAGAACCCGGCGAGACTGTGGTCAAACCTTTGCCGATCAGTTTCGCGCCAACGTTTAATCTATTCGACTGGTTACCATCGATCGTGCTGATCGAATTCTGCCGAGAACCCGGCGAGACTGTCGTGGGACTCTTGCTGGCCAGTTTCGCGTCAACGTTTAACCGATCGATCGTTGGTTTCTCCGTGCTGCGTCCGAAATTGTTGCTGCGAAAGGACGCTGTCGGCGTGCCAGTAACGTAGTTCGTAGTGTACCTCTGCTGCGAGGAACTGCTCGGGGTGATGGTGTTCTGACGATACGTGTCCGTGGTCACGTAGGAACGAGTCGTCGGCGGAATCGTTCCTGTGTTACTCGCGGCAGTTGCTCTGCTGCTCTCCCTGTTGCTGTTACTATTGTAGTAACTCTTGTTAACGAAGCTGCTGCGAACGTTGGCCCCGGTGGTTCTCAGGCTTCCACGGTACTCGTAGTTGCTATTGGCAAACAGAAGTGACTCGGTCGTCGGTTGAGCGTCAACGTAGGTAGACGTAGCCTCGGTCTCGTCGTTGCACGCGTCGGTGGCCGTCGGATACTGCGTCGTCGTCGTCTCGTAATAAGTGGGCCCGGCGTCCGTGAATAACGAGTAATCGTTCCTCTGCGTGGACACGTCGTTCTCGTTGCCTCGTCTCGAGTCAGTACTCCTCGTAGTTGGGTCGCGATTGACGTACAACTGATAGTAATACTGGTGCGTGTTGCCGGTGTTCTCGTTGAACCGGTTCCCGCGATTGCTAACGAACGCCGCGCTCTCCGCGAATTGCTGAGACTCCTTGGCGGGGCTGGTGTTGCTGCCTCCTCTGAACGTCGTCGACTCTGTGTAAGCTGGCGTGACCCTCTGCGAACTGGCAGCGGTGAAGTTGCCTCTGTTCAGCCCTTTGAACTTCAATCTCTTCAAAGCGCCCTTGTCGTCTCGTTGGCTGTTCGAGTTTCTATTCACCACGTGGTAATTCTGAGCTTTTTTCGGTGTGCTGTGATAGTAATCTGTCGTCGAGTGCCTGTCCCCTTCGTCGATGTTCCTCGACGCGAATTGATTGAACTGCTGCTGCTGCTTTGGTTGGTTGTTCGATTGAATCCCATTGGTAAATGACGATTGGTCGTTGTCCCTCGGCGAGTTTGACTCTTGGCTGTTGAAGTTGTTGCCAGAGTCAAAGTACCGGGAGGATTTGATTCTTTCTCTGTTCGATTGGACCTGGTTCTCCTGCGATGGCTCCTCGTACGGCTTGATCCTCCCGTTCTGCTTGCCGTCGTAGCTGAGACTCTGCACGTCGTAGTAGTCCTGCTGACCGTTCGACTCGATCGACTGCTGATAGTCCAATCTCGATTTACGCGACTCGGCGCGCCGTCGCTCCTCCTCGAGCAGCTGCTCGCTACTCTGCTCGTACAGCTCCGTGGACTTGCTGCAGTCCACCTTGAACCACCAATCGCAAATCAGCTGCGATTGTTGGAAGATGGTGCCGTTCGGGCAGAGGAACGAGATCTTTCGTCCGTTGTCGCATATGTGGAATACCTGGACAGAGAAATATTGATCTGTTGAGAGAGAGAGAGACAGAGAGAGAGAGAGAGAGAGAGAGAGAGAGAGAGAGAGAGAGAGAGAGAATTTAAATCGTTTATTTTGAAAGTTATTTGTGTTTTAATAAATTCAAAAATATTGACAACTGATAACATGATGGTATAATATTTTCGTGTTTTATTAATTTACCAACTCAGTTAGTATGATAAACATTGTTCAGAAAATAACACGTTCCTGAGTGGCTATAAATGGACTTGAGCCACTTTCAAAATTACTGAAATAACTTTTTTAATTTTGTAAAAAGGCACAGGCCCCTTGACGAAAATAAAGTTTCCTTAGAATAAAGAGAAACGTTACAATCCTGTGCTATAAAATTAAAAAGTATCCAACTTTTATTCACTGTTAAAGAAACGTTACAAATTTTTATCAATCTATCAATCAGCCAATTTTAGTGATCATAAATATATCAGTTACTTAAATATATTCGTTTAAAAATGTAAATAGTAAATAAATAGCCAGCTTGATCCTTCCTTGAAAAATGTACTTAGGCCAATTTCAAAATTACTGAAATAACTTTTTTAATTTTGTAAAAAGGCACAGATCCCTTGACGAAAATAAAGTTCCCTTAGAACAAAGAGAAACGTTACAATCCTGTGCTATAAAATTAAAAAGTATCCAACTTTTATTCACTGTTAAAGAAACGTTACAAATTTTTATCAATCTATCAACCAGCCAATTTTAGTGATCATAAATATATCAGTTACTTAAATATAAATATATATCAGTTACTTAAGTATATTTAATTTCAAAATGAACGGTTTGTTTATTATTTAACCATGACTGTGCTTGAAATAGCCGACACCTTATGATCAAACTTCCTTAATTCTCCTCCCCCTCCCAAGAGTTTTCTAATTACCCTCTTTGAGACTTTTGTATAATTCGAACGTTAATAAAGAGGTTTGTTCTCTTACAGGAGAAAGTTTCAAAAGTTTTTGCTTAGTTAAATGTTTCTATTCATCGGGTTCTCGGCTCGATTACGCTGTCGCGGAACGGAGAGACGCCGCGATGTCGCAACGCTGAAACCCGAATGCCGTTTGATTAAAGTAATTACGTTTGCGGCAAGATGTGTATTTTGTTACTCACTTGACAATTCGTCTCCAAGTCCGCGTAGTAACCACCTTTCAGACCGCGGCAGCTGAACGAAGTGGCTGGGATCGTCGTCAGGGCTGGAAAGTCCACACCCGGCTGTCCTGTCACGCCTTTAAATTACAAGAGCACGTTTTTTCTTTCTTTCTTATTACGCAATGTCTGTCGTTCCCTCCCCCCCTTTTTTTTAAAATCCGCCGACAGTTTCAATCCCCGAGAACGAAATTTAGGTGTACTCCTTTCTTGTTTCGTTCACTCTTTTTGTGCAACATTTAAGCAGTTTATTAATTTCAATGTAACATTTGAGAAGTCAAGCATTGATCAACATTAGAACTACCAAAATGGGTCAAAATGATCATTTGAATGTTTTTTAGATATATCAGTTAGATATTTGAATATTAGTTAAAATTTTAGAAAATTTTTCTTTGTAAAATACATAAATAAAAGCTTGTGTATTACACTGATCTACTCTGCTCTGTTGTATCACAAAGATCCTCTGCTTCTTTTACTTTATCTCTGATTACAGCTAATTTTATGCTTCGGTAGTTCTAGTGTTAATGTAACATTGAAGAAGTCGAGCATCAATCAAGTGACATGCAAGTTGACAGCATGCGTCGTTTGAAGCTACCTGTGACTCTCGTCGAAATTTCTCGAGAAACTTTTAGTTACAAACTTGCCAAACAGCCATTGTTTTCGTGCGAAACTCTATACCGGGAACCGAGTATTAACTTCCAGCTAACGCGATCCGTCCTTTCCTTTTTCCAACATAGATTTCCAGGTGATTCCACCACCGGGGTTGTATTGGTTTCAAAAGAACCGTCAGCCAGATGCATGCCCTTTACTCTACTCGAGATAAAAAAAGGGAAGCTGGGAGAGGAAGGCGGCTGGTATACTTATGCAGTGTTTATTAATAATACCCGCTCCTTTGAGCCATTCCTTGAGAAGGTCCGCATTGCCGAAGAAGACTGGGAAAGAAACGCGAAAGATGGTATTTTAGAGATAGAATTAGAGCAGATAGAAGATGGTTAAGAAACAAAAAAAAAAAAAAAAGGAAACGTTAGTTTCTCGGCGTGTGAGTAAGAGTGAATTGGCTTTAGGAACCTTGATAAATTTGGTACTCGCCATTCTTCTCGGGTGCCAGCCTCTTCACTATTCTCCTCAACGTCTCCTCGTTCTCTATTGATGCCTCTATGCTGGACAAGTCCAACTCTGACGAGAGTTTCCGCAGATTTGCCTTTTCACTATTATTTTCTGACTGAAAGTGAAAGCGATTCGTGATGTGATTAAGCACGCTGAGACATGTGGCGATTAGAACAGGGATGACCAACCGTGCCACTAATGGCGCATAGAGCAAGTTATTTAGAGTATGAGTAACTATTACAGTAAGGTATTATCATCATTATTATTATTTACTCTAATATATAATAATAATAATTATTATTACTTACTTACTTACTCTAACAAATAGTTAAAATTGTATGTAAATATATGAATGTTTAGTACAAAATATTAAATATTTATAAATTGATTATTATTTACTCTAATAAATAATAATTATTATTTATTATTACTATTATTATTATTTACTCTAATAAATTGTTATAATAATTAATAGTTAAAAATGTATATAAATATTTAATATAAAATATTTAATATTTCTAAATTGAGTATTATTTACTCTAACAAATGGTTAAAATTGTATGTAAATATACAATATATAAATATTTAATATAAAATATATTATATATTTTATATTAAATATTTATAAATTGATTATTATTTACTCTAGTAAATAGTTAAAAATGTATGTAAATATTTAATTCAAAATATTAAATATTTATAAATTGAGTATTATTTACTCTAATAAATAATAATAATAATATCTTATTCTAATACTTAATATAAATATGTTAACTATACAGTATACTATATATATTGTATATACAATAATATGGCATAATAACTATTATACCATTTACTATTTACTATATACACGTTTACTATTTATAAATATGTTTACTATCTATAAACACGTTTTTGTTGTTGAAATAATTTAATGACGCGTCGACGCTCGCTTGAAGAAAAAAGTTTGGTTAGGCCACCCCTGGATTAGAGTAAATTGGAATAATTAGGTTAGGTCTCGTTCAACACTTGTCAAGTATTGCGACTAACTACATTTTACAAGAAAAAAAAGCTTTGTATTGTCTCTGACATATTTTTCATTGTGATTCATTTTCATAATACTTCTGTTTCGCACTGTTCTCGTAGAAATTGTTTAATTAGCAATCATAGTCACCTCCGCTTCGCAATTGCTGACCATGAAAGTGACCACTGAACCTGAAACACCGAGTCACACGTGAACATTACATTCTGGAGAAAGAAGAAAAAAAGAAAGAATATTTGAAAAATAATATTCGCTTTTCGCGTTTTAACATTCAACAAATGGCCAAAGTAATATTTAGGCAACGTAAATTGAAAGAGTGAAACACGTCAGAAGGAAGATCGAGGGAGATATTTCTAATCGTACTTACATAAAAATAGGATTACTTCGAGACACTCCATTTTCGATAAATTCTTGCGCATGATTCTGTAACAAGATGTATGATGTATTACTTCTTGAGATTCTTGTATATTGTTGTTGTTTCTTTGCTGTTAAACCAAAAGACTGTCAAGTACTTGACTGGGTAACTTATTAAAATAAATTAAATACTTATTAAATACTTATTAAAACTAAAAATACTTATTAAAATAATAACATCAATCGTTATTACTTTTACGTGAATTTTTTCTAGAGATAGATATCCTTAAGTAATTTTTATATCATTTCTTAAAATGATATAGCTCATAGAAAGGCGTACGAAGTTCATATTATGAGCTTATTACTCAATTCAATAAACATAGAAATAAATATACAAAGCAACGACAATGTTGTCATCTACGATTATATTTGCAATAAATTAAAGAATGGTGTTAAAAGTAGTTTTTCTAGTGTCTGGATGTATTTAGAAATTAAAATGTAACAAAAAAGAAAAACGCTGACTTCAAGGTAAAAAAAAAATTGTGCCTGCCGAAACCCGGGATCGAACCAGGGACATTTAGATCTTCAGTCTAACGCTCTCCCAACTGAGCTATTTCGGCGACTGGAAGAATGTTCTTCTATAATCTATAACAAGGCTCTGTCACTGTATTCGATCGATATTTCCTATTAATTAAAAAAACTTAAATCATCCTTGAACTTAAATCAATAATTTAAATTCTTATTAAATATCGTGAGAAAGAATTCTAACAAAGAGAGGGGAAAAAAAAAAAACGTTGCGCATGAAACCTTAAGCAACCTTAAGAAATTGAATTTAATCGCTTATATTTCATACTGTGGAAAGCCTTGTAGGCTCTCGCGAGCTGTTAACAAGGATAAATAAAATACCAAGGACCTTGCTCAATCACGATTGTAATCTCGATTGTAATTTATGCGACAACGTATTTTACAACTGTTCGTATTGTTATCTCAATAAAATCTTCAATTCCTCTCGCGGTAATTCCTTTCGCTATTTTACTTTATTTTTACTCTAATCTGCAAACATATAATATAGTATAAGAAGGACGTGATACAGGAAATAAGCAGATACTTGTTTCACCTGTTAAATATCGTACCTATGTTCCATACGTTAATTTAAATTATTAATTATTTTAATTATTTTATTTATTTACATTATTATTAATTATTTACATTATTAATTATTTTATTTATTTACATTATTATTATTAATTATTTTAATTATTTACATTATTAATTATTTTATTTATTTACATTGTTATTATTAATTATTAATTACTTTATTTATATACATTATTATTATTAATTTACATTATTAATTATTCATTTATTCATTGTTTATTTACACAAATTGCCAAAAAAAAAAAAAAAAAAAAAAAAAATTGAAAAATAGTTTAGAGTGCAAAGGGTTAATTCTCTATTATTTTTAGTTATTGTCATTCATTGTTAACTGTTAAACTGTACTGCATTAATTAACATCGATTAAACAGCGTATCACACATCGTCTAATTAGAAATCTCTGACGCACACGCTTCTGAAGAAACATCCCGGCTTAATAGAAGCCGTTCGTAAAGGAGCGTAAGCTACTCGATCCCGTCTCTGTCCGCCGATATTCGAGTCTGCTTTCATTTCCCTGTGTAGTAACCACTTTTCAGAGCATTCGAAGCAATTTTCCCCAAAGTTTGTGCATCGCTTTGAAGGATCCAGAACTAAACGTGCGAACCTACTTGTGTGGTACTCGATCCCATCTCTACGCTGCGCGTATGCAGACGCTTAGGGCGCGTTCGCGTGTGCGAAACGTGGACGAGAGAGCGAGCGGAGGGGAGGAGTGGACGCGTGGAAAGAGGACAGAGGGGTGGCAACGGTCGAAGGAGGGGAACGAGAAGGTTGAGGTTATAATACCATTGGAGCAGTGGCCGCATGACCTTGCGTATGCTCGTCTAGGTCGACGAGCCACGGTCATTAGGCGTCGCCCGTCGATTCTTCGACGAATTTCGTCGTGACCGATGAAAATCATCGACCTATATCACGCTGCCCCGCGTTCTCACCACGCGAATGAAACACGCGTGTCCGAGCGCAATTTCACGCGCGAGAACCTCACGAGTCTCGTCAGTTTCGTAAATGATATCCTGCGCAAGTTACGCGTTCTACATTTTGCAAGAATCTTGTAAGCACTGTACGATAAAACCGTGTTTGCTCGTAGATAAATTTGCCCGTTACAAACGATAATAAAACTATTCCGCGTTTTCTTATCGTTGGCATTTCGAATAATAGGATTTAAATGTACGTTACATAATCACTGCGTCAGATTATCATGCCAGCGTAATCATTCAGCGATCGCGTGCACTTTTTACGCGCAGCAGCGCGGAATCTTATGAATTTAAAGTGCCCATGTACAAAATATTCGAGGTATATAATTTATGAATATATTTGTGTTCCTACTTTTCCACCAAAGTTCTGTTTAAATTATTCTCGCGAAAGAGAAAAGAAGACGATGTAAGAAATGAAATGGCACAGACACGCGTAGTCCAATTTAAGAGTTCATCGAAGAATTTATTTTAAATCGATGCCCGATATCGAGTTCTGTTCATTTTTCTTTTACTTTTCTTAAACTTTGAAACTCTTTCTTTTTATTACGTATCATGTCAGTTTCGTACGTTATTGAATTTTACAATTTTACGAGATTCAAAGTGCATCCACTGTGTAACTGATTCGCGTGAACAAAATCCTCGTCGTTGCGCGCAGTTGCGTAATACGGGCGTGCGTTTCGATGTTTATTGAAAGGGAACGACATCGCCGGTTTATCACGACAGATAACCGAATAACGTTGATTAATTGCACCGAGGATCTGATCCGGTCTGATGTCGCGAACGAGACGATAGCGGCACCCCCGTCGAGAGATTCGTATCTGAAACGTCTCCGAAATTAGCGGCCGCTAAGATATCGTTTATCAAACAGCAAATAAAAGCAACGCGGCCGATTATTATTGCCGGAGCGGCGGAGGGGGCGGAGACGTGCTCGTCTGGCTCGACGATCCGGACACGCCGGTGAATCGTGTGAAAATTTGCACGTCTGCCGTCTGGTAATTGATCGAAAGATCTGTATCTGCGGTATCTGTACTCGTATTAACTCGTGTTAACATGTCCTTTACACACATTCTACTCTGCTGTTTCAATTGTAATTCGCGCGCGCAGGATTTGTGTTTGAAACGCTTTGAAACTGTGGGATCGAAAGGGAAGGTAAAGCGTAAGGAAATGAAATTCACTTGGAATTACCGACACTGTACAGTTACTTTGAAATGGAACGCGTAATTAGATTGGTGTGATAAAATGTTTAAAATACTTGCGATGCTTCTTTTAGAATATTTATTGCAACGGAGAGTTTGGAATATTTCGAACATTTGTCGGCAACTAATTTCTGTCGAAGAAAGAAACTTCTTTCCCTATGTTTCTAGTGAAGGAATTGTGAACATTTTTTGTCAATAATATCAACGAATCTCGACGATAGAGTTAATCGATTTTTCACAAAAGAAATAAAGAACGTGTCGTTGTAATTTAATTGAATTTATCCTGTAACGAGTATATAGGTTAAACGCAATATAGCAACAGGTTAAACGAAACTCGTTGGAAATTTAATTTTTCCTTTTTAATTTCTTCTTTTCGAGGAGAACTATTTCAAAATAACTCTGAACAATGTCGTGTTTTAAATCGTCGATCACTTTGGGAGCATTCAACCGTTCGTTATATAACGAACGCCGACCAGTCAATAAAGTTTGTTTGTTTCAAATTCCGTTGCATCATTGCGTCGTGGCCTTTGTCTTCATTCAAAGATCACTCGATTATAGGTCGTTGAATTCGTCGCTCGACACTGATCGAATCGATTATTTGTTAGAAGTGATCAAACACACGCGACCCTGACATCGTTTTTGCACTCGTGACCAAACATACACGTATAACAATTTTATGCACTTTTTACACGTGTATATTGTAATTAGAGTGTCGAGTTTCATACATTTATAGAGATAAGTTTGTTTTATATAATTTATATTTAAAAAGTTCATTTGCACGTTGCTTTTTGTTTAAATTATATGGAACGTTCTGGATCTCAATCATCTTTGCCAACAAGAAATTGAAAGTCATTTTGAGCAAAAAATATATAATTGTCATCGAGATTACAATCGTTTTCGAGATACATGTAGACAGAATTATTGATAGTCTTCGAGTTGGATTATTCCTATATTCGAAATCACTTCCTTGTAAAAGAAATTCAAACTTACGTTGAAACATTTAAAAAATTTCTTTTACAAACGAAATCTACGAAAACTGAAATCCACATGATTTTTCTTCCACCACTTGAATCTGGAGCGTCAAGATTAAATGACGAAGCGTTTGGATTTTTTGAATTCTTGTCATGTAATAAAATGATCGTTTTCCAGGTACATGTAGACAGAATTATTGATAGTCTTCGAGTTGGATTATTCCTATATTCGAAATGACTTCCTTGTAAAAGAAATTCAAACTCACGTTGAGACATTTAAAAAATTTCTTTCACAAACGAAGTCTATAGTTTTGAAAACTGAAATCCACATGATCTTTACCACTTGAATCTTACACATATTTTCACAAATCCCGAGGGAAATTCTTGATGCAAACTCATCATCGAGAAACCTACGACCGTCAAAGTAGAAGCTACTCGTATAAAAATGAGATCTTGTTCCGCGAGATTACATCAGTCCAAATTATCGACGATTTTTCATTGTCGTCGATACAGTTGCACTCTTCTGTGCACGTGCAATGCACACAGAGCAGCCTAGAGAAGTAGAGAGTAGCCTAGAGAGTCGCATCCTCTGATATAAGAGAGGCAGGCGGTGCAGCTAGTTGCGTAATCGCATTCTCGATGGCTCGGTACTGCGACCGGTGCTGCACGTAGGTGGTTGGAGAAGGTAGTCGGCCGATGGGCAACGCTACCAGAGAGATAAGGGGGCGAGTAAGAAGGCCGATGGTCTTCGAGACGAGAAAACAAGACTCGCACAGATACACACACACACACACA